CCGAAATCAGTTCCTCCGCACCATCACGAATACCCCATGGTACATCTCCAATTCTCAACTCCATAAAGAATTCCAGCTGGAACCGATAACCAACCACGTCATTTTCGTGTCTACCCACTTCTCCCAGAACATCCCAAATGTACCCAACTCAACCCCGCTAAGACTGTCAAAATGCAATACACGGAACACTCATCAAGAATAAATTTCCTATCCATACATTTCGAAATAAATTTTCAGATCTCAAACCAAAGTAGAGATATGATATAAAGATACCTCTGCCACCCTAGTAGTAATGTAAGTTGTATTTTAAGATTCCTAGTAAGAGTCTTTTAAGTTACTTATAAATAGATATAAACAAGTATAACATATGTAGAGTGTATTAAACACTGATCTTTGTATTGTCCTATCCCAATGAAAATTACAGAAAACAAAACAAAAACATGATGGATGGTAGAGGAAAGTTATGTTAACCCATAGAGGTTGGTGATGTAATGAATACAAAGTGAAGTCGCAATACGGAAGTGAAGTGGATGTAAAACGGAAATGGTAATCCTGGAAGTCGGCCCGTGGGGGCGAATTCGTTTGCAGGAGCCACAGCGGTCCACAAGGGAAGTGGATATTTCAAACTTTTCTAATTGACTCGGGGATATGGCAAGGCCAAGAAATGTATTGTAGTGGGGAAAAGGTTGAAAGTTCAACATATATGGCCATTAGTCAGTGAAAAGGAATGCGCACTCGCATAAATGAGTTATGTTTATTGTTATGTGTGATTGTAAATATTATATATTTCTAAGGGTAATATATTCGTTTTGGTACGTGTTCGTGTTGTTATTTTCTAAAATATGTTTTTGTATTAGTCATGAGAGGCGGCAACTACGCTAATCAATTGTTTTCAGCATGAATGAGCAAGGTTGCACCGACACTTGCGGCAGCAACAACTAATTTTGAAAAAAAATGATGTTTTTATTTGGTTGGGAGTGAGAGAAGGATAACTTACATGACCGGTTCCAAAACAATTGATGATAAGCCCTCCGTTTCCCGTATGGAAAGGGCTTCGCGCGCTCACACCCGAAAAGAAATTTATTGAACGGTAATCTAGTCCCAAAAACACAGGGAAATTGTTTATTTTTGTTCAAGTAAGCATATACATGTAGTATTGTTGTTATAAACAATAGTAGGAAAAGTATGTCTCGTCTCAGCCACCGACCAGCATGGGCCTTGTTGTACGTGATTGTAAATAAAATTCCCTCTGAATTCAGGACGAAAACCGCTGGTTCCGTTCAGTTTATTGCCCAGTAAAAGTCATAAAAAATGACTGAGAATAATTACGAGTTATGGATATGGATAAGCGGGAACCGTTTCAGTGTTAAAGAGAATATCTCAAGAACTATCGACCACTCCTATAACTTCTAACCAGTTCGCGAAATCAAAATGCAGTTTTCACTCAACATTGCAAAATCATGAGGCAAGTAATATGCCGTAGAGATTGAAATAGTAGTGATACATTGAAATATGCAGTATTAGATATGAAAAGACTATTGCAAACTGCATCAAAACAGTCACGATCAAGAATGAACTTTCCTAATCAGATATTTTAATGACACAATTGTTTCTTTAAAAATTATTAACACAGAAGTGACACCAATGGAATATCGGTTTCAAGATTTTGAAAACAGTAATTTTATTGATTTTCTTAAAAAAATCAGTTTTCCATCTACAAAGCGCCTTTTCTTTCAGAAAAGTTATCTTCCCTAATAAAACACTATCCATTCTTTGACAGTGAGCAGCTCCGAAATGAACTGACAAATTTATTAATTGATAATGCAAAAGACATGTGTGCAGATTTGTTGCTGAAGCGTATTTTGGACAATGGTCTAGGATAAAAGAGACGGTTTAATTGATACAACTCAGTCTAACTTTACCTGTATCTACTACCTGTTACAGCATTTTGAGAAAGGAAAATTGCATTAAAAAGAATGAAGACATTCCAGAGAAATTCCATAGACACTATATCAGACTTAGTAATTTGAGTACACTGGCCATCGAGAAGTGTCTACTAAATTAACTTACCAGAGACATTTTTAAAGAACAAGTTATTGATGTGTTTGCTGAACGATAAGCCCGACTAATAGAGCTGGTTTATAAAGAAAGGTGTAATGTTAGATTTCAGAATACCCAACTCTATAAGTTCCCACTAATAATAATAGTAGTAGTAGTAATAATAATAATAATAATAATAATAATAATAATAATAGTAATAATTTTCAACTTTGCTAAAATATTTGAAAAAATTCTAAAACTTAGAATGGATAATTTTATTACCAAACAATTCAAAAAAGATGATAACAGATCTAATCTATATTTCAATTAACACTAAGGAATGGCTAACCACGTTTTTGGGTTTGGCCAAAGCTTCCGATACTGTCAATCATCAAATACTCCTTGACAATTTATATCGTGACATTAGAGGAGTCGCTCTCCAACTAATAAAAAGGTATCTTACGAACAGGGTCCAAGTAGTTAGAATAAATTACGGCACAGGGAATCTACAAATATTTTGAAAAAAGTATATAAAATAATTTAAAGTGCTATGACAAGTGCTTACAAATAATCTTTACTTAAATGATGAAGCTGCAGCAGTGTCTTGAAAAAATTTGAACTTTCGCAATGTACGAAAATTCAGATTTAAATAATATCACTTGAAAGGAGAAGTTGAAGAGACGATTTAGCAATCTTCCGATCTGTCCCTATGAAAACTTAAAGCCATCCATCGTTCATGTGGTGGCTTTCTCCTGTTTACCAAAACATTAAAATACAAAGGATATCACATACACACATCTAATCTAATCGCATTGTGAAATCTAATCTAATCGCATTGTGAAATCATTAATGATAACATTGTCATGCATATCTTGAAGGCGCATTTGATCTAAATTCAATTACCATCTCCAGATGTTAAGAACGAGAAGATAGATCACAGTGACTCCATGAACATTTTCACTGCGAACCATTCTTTTCTCACGTGAAAAGAAAAGCTTGCAATCTTGCTCACCAATTGCAGTAGTATATTTTTCTAAAATCAACGTATATAATTATCAATTAACCTAAGTATTACTGATCTTTCTTAGCCTAAAATTACATACCATTAGATTTCAATTATAGGCCATTAAAACAAAAAATCTTTAACTTTTTTAAAAATATTTTGTACACATACAAGGGCAGGGCAAAAGTATAACTACTGCTGTTATACATACATTCGTACACAACTTGGATCTTTTCAAAAATTTCGAAAACCCAGATAATTCATCGAAAAAGAGACCTATGCCAATTTCAGCATTCTTTGCTCTGAAACATTTGAAAAAGAATTCAACATTTGGACTAGGTTTTTAATTTTTTTTTCCAAATTGCCTTAACTTAGAAATTACACGAAAATTATACGATTATTAAAAAATTGTACTGGACATTTTTTAAATATCTAATTGTTAAAAACAGATTTTATCTATGGAGCAAAACTCTATCACCAGTATTGTACTTTTAAAATGTTAATCATTGCAAATTTTCAAAAATGCTTAGTCACCAAAAATAAGACCGAACGATTGTTTTTGTTTTTTATACATACGAGAAGAAAATTGGAGGAAATATTTGAAGCTGTTTTTTTACTAACTCCTAAAAAATTGCAAAAGTTCATGAAATTTTTTTTTAGAAAAATTGTATACACTTTTATTTCAGTATCTGCCTTAGAACAGATTTTATTAAGGAAATAATCAGCATCATTAATGTGATTAAAGTGGTAGGAAAACGGCGAAAAATTTCAACTTTTGCAATTTTAGAAAAATCAGGCATTTTCACGTATATGAAACCTGTTAAATATAGGAATGCGTCGTTTACACTATTAGACGGCAAAGTTTAATCAGAAAATTTGGAGCCATTATTGTGATAATTTGGAAAATGTTAGCTTTCACTTACGTGCAAAAACTAAAGTATCCCGTTTCAATTACTAGGGCCTCGAGTTTGTTCAGATCTATCGGAAAATAACAATTTCGAAGAAAAAGTTCTCTGAACAGTTTAGGCGCTAGTTGAACGAACAGACATGAAATGCACAGACAGACACTTTACCCACAATTAGTTTTTCGGTATCAAGAGTCAATTCCGCAACACGTGGATTCTGAGTACACAATGTACTTGAAGGAGTAATTTTCTAAATATATGAAAGGCGCACGAATACAATAATGTCTATTCGAAGTAGGCGAGAAAATCAAAAGTAGATTGATAAAAGAAAAGTAGAGTAGATAAAAGAGCGAAATCTGCGAGTGCAAGAATCATTACAAAATTTAATGGTTTAACGTTTATACGGCGGATTAAGATCAATTTAAGGTCAATATATTGACAGCCAAGTTCTACAGGTCCCCGCTTTCTCGCGCTAATTCGAAAAGAAGCATCGTCTTTGCAAGTGTGCCGGAAAATGATGGATTTTCGACAGAAAAACTCTTAGTGCCGGGCCGAGGTATCAAAAAAGTTCATCTTTCTGGTCATATACATTCGTGTTTATATATCACGAATATGGTTTAAGGGCGGGCGGTGTATTAGAAATGGTAGAAGCCAGCCGCACAAATAGCACTTTGCCCGTCGCAGGCCACGCAGTCAAGCGGCCATTTCGCTGGCTTCGTCTGCCTTCGTCCGCCCCAGGCCGCGAACTGGAGATTGAATTCCTGAGAGCAAGCAACGAGCAAAAATTGAAGACTTCCCAAACAAGGTCCGCAGAATAGCAGATAACGCCCTTTAATACGTTAATAATGACAATGACAATGACAATCCAGAGATTGATTCTTAACACCAGCTTATCGAATGCAAAGTATCCTACTAATAAATACGTACCAAACAATGTTCTCGAAAATTATGAATACTTATTTTACTGGGACAGAACAATTCTCAGATGCCAGATAGCCCCTCACAACTGGCCTGATTTGTTTCTGGTAGACAAGGAGAGAAGGCAAGCCTACCTGATAGACATAGCCGTAGCAAACACGAAATACTTTCAAGAGAAGTATGACGAGAATATTATCGAGAAAAATGCTCCGATATAATATTAATAATAATAATAATAATAATAAATATAATTGTTATTATTATTATTATTATTATTATTATTATTATTATTATTATTATTATTATTATTTTTATCTTCACAAGTCTTAGCCATTGAACCTCACAGATTTCGCAGATATTTTTCGAAATCTACCCAGTTTCCGGCCGATCCCCATTTCACGTAGATGTAGACCAAAGTAAAGAAGCTCATTTAATACACTTCCTTTCCGCGTCTACCTCCGAAATCTGGGAGACAAAATGTAATAAGATAACCAATCCTATTAATAATTTATAATCATATTCTTCTCTTTAGAATCCACTTTCCTTAACGCTAACGCCGAAAGGAATTTGCCAAAGCTGCCCACTGCGAATCAAGTTTGACTGAAGTTCCTCACTCGCGGCATCTGAAAAGCCACGTGGCGAAGCATTGGATTATTGCATTGCGCTTTCTTTCCGCAGTAAAGAGAGCAGGCAACTGGCGGCGTCTGCGCGCCTGCTGCCTTGGTAGGGGGACTAAGAGCCGTGGACATGCGAATGCACTTCAGGAATCAGCCTCACCGATGACGAAGCATTCGGTACCCAGGTTGCAAGGTGGAGCGCGCCAAGTAAATGCCACAGGAGATAATACAGACCGGTGAATTACATTTTGAAATAGTTTAGAAAACTCGAGAAGGCGTTCAAAAGCAACTAATGTTCCGAATAAACTCGTACATAAATAACTTGCACCAACATTGCTCCATAGAGTCCACAGTTTTAAAATGTATTTGTGTATTAATTTATTTACATTTTATATTTTTGCCTCTCACTAAATGTCCCATTCAGCTACTGCTTTTTTAAGCAAACAAATAAACTCATTAAATTCTGATCTGTCACTGCATTAAGACCGTTAGAAAGTCAGCGGCCGCGAGTGCTCCTCGAGGTTTCGAGGATGAGCCAGTGAGCACGATTCAGACTTCGGGTGGCGGCTGCTTTTTGCTACGCGATCGTCGTTTGTCGCAGGGGCTGGGCCTCAGGCGAAACCCCACCACGCACCTGCTCGGGCTCCTGGCGGCGCGGGCGGTGGGCTTCCATGGCGGCGTCCCCGTCTGCGCTTCTTTCCCACTGGGCTCCTTTCCCTCTAGCCCACCCCCGCCCTCGAGCTCCTGGTTGCGCGATAAGCAAGCAGCCAGGGTCACCGCAACTCTTTCTCGGATGATAAGGTGCTTTGACCTTGCGCTGGAGATGCAATATGGGAAAGTATATTTCTGCGAGTTATCTTATCTCCACTTTAAATTTTATTGCTGACTGAAGACCTCTTCTTGGTAAAATCACAACTTAGCAAAACAAGGAAGAAAACATTGATCTGAAAAGCAATCTGGGCATCGAACCGCCAGCGCAGCGGGCGGGCGAGACGCCTTCCACGGCGCTTCGCAATCCAACTGCTCCAGGACTTCGGTGACACTTTGTTATCGTAACATTGAAATATCAAAACTAGAATATTAATTTGGAACATGAAACCCTTATGGATAAGGGTTATGGATAAGTTGCAGTAATACTAAAATTAGGATTAAGAATCCTAACAATTTGGGATATGACAATTACATATGGATGCTCTAAACATTTCTATCATCAATATTGTAGTTTTGCAATGTAAAATTTTTGCAATTTTCGAAAATATTTTTTTAATGGACCTAAACAATTTTAATAATCGGACAATCCAATAGGAGGAAAAAATTAAAGAAAAAAATTGGAGCAGTTTAATAAAAAAGAAATTATCTTCACTGCAAAAAGAATACACACAACATTATCTTAATTGCAAAAAATTCTACTTCATGTCTTTATTGAAATATTTAATTTCTTGGAGCACATATGATTAACGAAAAAACCTCTATCATCAATATTGTTGTTCTGCACTACTACTTTTTTTAAGTTTCGAAAATACGAAGGATTCACCAAAATTGGTCCTGGGGCATTTTTATAAGCATTCTTAGCTGTAATTGTATTATGCATTACCTTTACTTATGGGTCGATTCAATTGAAGATGTCCTGCACTGGTCACTAGACTATCTCGCCAAAAATGCATACTTCGTAGAAATTTTCTTTATTTTTTGCCTGTTCAAAAAGCTTTATTTTTTTTATTGCGCCTGGTTTACAAATGGTGGCCATTTGTGTTTTACGCTGGGCGCCATTTTTGCGTTTGTTGACATTTACTCTTTACTAAACTACACAGGTATGGGTTGCTAGAATAGTATTCTAGAATATAATGCATTGGTTTCAGTACATTCTGATCTACAAATCGAAATATTATTAGCCTACCTTTTATTTAGGAAATAATGTAACCAAATCTATGGAATGCAAATGAAACAAGTTCGATATTCGAGTAAGTTGTCAAAGAAGGAACAGAATCACAGCCTTAATTGTTTTTGTGCTTATCATATAACAATATATTTACGTTTTGCAAAGTATCAGTGGTAAATAACGTACCACACGAAAATTACATATTTTAAAAATTGGAATTTTCGATTTTTTCCAAATTTTCAACTGTAATATTTCGTATGGGGACTAGATAAAAATATGAAACTTGCACATATACTAGATCGCTGTGATTCCAAATGTCAGTAAAAGGTTAAACTTTTAGATTCAACTGAGTAAACAGTTTCTTATTGATTCTCACTCAAACGCTCGCTTCCCGCTTGTGTATGAATTAAGAAAGAAATTCCAGAATTCAAGAAAACTTTCTCAGAACGCACTTTTCCGTATAGCTTCTTTTTAACAGATTATTCTACCTGTTTGATGGTAAAGAAATAAAAGTAAAAAAACAAAGTTGCTTTCGGCCGGTGGAGATAGCCGAGATCGTTAAGGCAGTAGCGCCGTAGCGGACCGAAAGTTCGCTGATTCGAGCCCCGCGTCGGGCATGCTTGTCTTGTGTTCGTCCTTTCACCCCTATCATCACCATAGCATGTCATCTTCAGGTACTATAGCGTTAAATGCAATAGTGGTCGCTAAAGACCCAGATGATGCCACTTTAAATAACAAAAAATGTAGCCTATGGCGCCGATTTCGTTAGATACATAGGAACCCGAAAAAAAGACACCATGCCAGTTGGATGATGACTGGAAACTACTGGTTTTTGGTTGTGTTACCTACATTCCTGATGCGCGCATCTTCATTATTAAGCCTTTGTGTCATCACCAGCGCCAGCTTTCTCGTGGTTTCTTCTATGCAACTTCTTTTTCTCATAGCCTTCATTTCTCTTTAACGAGTGAAGAATTCTACGCAATTTGTCTATACTGATAATCAAAAATGAAAATGTGTATTTTAACAATGATATAATGCAATAGTTTTAGTTTGTGTTGTATATTTTTTATTAAAATGACTTAATATGCCTGTAACAAATAACGTACTTTAGCTTCCGGGACATTGACTCCCATCTCGATCAGGTGTTTGTCCAGTTTCCCGTACCCATTCAGCAGACGCTTTCTCTGGACGTAAATGCAGCTCCGTGAAATTAAAATGATCACCAACACCCCCCACATCAAGCCTCCCTGGATTAAGAATCTCTGTTAAAGTCTCGGTTTCGATCCAAGTGTATCTCATCTGGCAAAAAATAAATAATTATTAATGAAAATGAATTAATATTTTCTGTCTTTGCTTCTGCTGTGAAGAGGCTGCCCGCGGCGGCCGCGTTGCTAGCTGCTGCCTGAGGGCCAAGCGAAGCGATCACAACGGAAAAGACTGCAGGACTTCCCTAGCGGTTAGAACCTCAAACCGGTTTTTTATGGTTCGCACGTCTTTCTATCGTAGCTTTGGAAAACAGATAAATTAAATTGCCATTGGGGTGGCACTTTTAATGAGGTTAAATTAGTCGTGAAGTCGTGCCATCGCGCTGTACGCACAGGTTCGTTAAGTTTTCGTGATTCGTGTCGAAACAATAATTTTTTCAGTTCCATTGCGGCAGCCGACCGAGACACATCGTGCTCCGATCGCGTGCAGTGAAACAGTTGTTATCACATTGCCATTCAGTCTGTGAACTTAATATCATTTACTTACTGGCAACCTCTTGTCCCACGAGTCGTGAATGTCTGAAATCAACTGTATGGTCAGCCGGTGCAGCGGCTAACCTGCAAGGGTGGAGCCTCCGGACATCAGGGCTCGTATAACCTCAACACCGTCACCTCAGGTGACACTCACTCAGGTCACACTCACTCAAATATGAAAACTTACGCAAATGTCATGTCAACTGAAGTGTTTCCCACCAAGGACCAAGCCATTATTATCGACTCGCAAGAAGGTCTCACTATTAAAGATTACATAAACGGTCTATCCGATATTATTGACGCCAGTGAAATAAGGTTGATATCAAGAATTGCTAATAACAGAGTGTGTATCTTTCTAAGCTCTCAAACTATAGCTGACAGCCTTCCGAACAACCATAAAGTTATTAAAATAAAAAACTATGAACTGAAGTTGAGACCACTTGTAACAAGGCAAAAGAATTATTTATTTAACGTTTGTCTCATAATCAAAAGTATCATAGTAATAGAGAATGTACTCACACAAGATATAAATGGCATCTAAATTTATTTGTAAAAGCTGGTATTCCTGGACGGGTTTTCTCATATTATGAGTTCCGTAGACAAGGGTATTTGCCCTGAAAGACTGTGAGTCTACTAGATTCTACTTACTGGTTATTTATGATGGATAACATAATAGGATATTTTTAACATAGATGAAATGTATTGCTTTTTATGTACAAAGAGCACTTGGCCTGGACATCCTTTACGTTAACTCTAATCAACACAAGATACAACTTAGGTCAGTGCTCCCATGGAATCTTGACAATTCAGGGGAAATCCTGGTGAATACAGACCTGCATCCAAATGGAAAAAAACTGGAGTTGTAGATATTGAAAGTTCAAATGATTTACAAAAATAAATACATGGTTCA